TTTTTTTTTAAATAGTAGCTCGCTCGGATTGACGAAAATGTATATAAGTATATATTTTTTTATTTCTAGTGTTATTGTACTTTGGAGTCTTCGTTTTGTAAAATCCTTTTCTTTTTATTACAGGAGGAAATTATTTTATTGTTAAAAGTTTAGCCCACATATTTAATAGTTTGAAAAAATTGCTGGACATTTTAAAAGAATTAAGTAGATATCTATATTACGGCTGTATTTTACGTATTTTTTTATATATAATGTATCATTGGATCCTTGTAATATTTTTAAAAACAGTTGAATTTGTAGAAATAATTTAAAAACCATAATATAGACACTTGCCCACTGGTACATTAGTTATATCCATCGACATTTACTAACGGACATGCCTTAGCGGTCAGAATTGTGGTACAACAAAAGACTGGGATGGAACGAAGTTTCGGACAATATCCATCTCTCTCACGATAGTGCGTGAGCGTGTCATGAAAGAAATAGCACTAGTCCGAAACCATTCGCCATCTCCCTCACTTTTTCAGCCAAGAAATTATTACGACGACATAAGGCTAAGGCACGTCCATTAATATATGTCTATGATTCATATGATTTTGTCTATGATATGATTACATAGATTAAAGAAATATTCAATGACTGTCTGTGATATGATCGTGTCTATGAATATGATCATAACCATTACCGTTTGTATGTCTATTATCTATGATCATAACCATATTTCAACATGATTTCAATCAAATTATACAAGTTATACAATTATAATTATAACTATAACAATAATCAGGTACAGTATGAATACGTGTATTTTGTATTTTCCTGAATTTTTCTGAAAAATGTACTAGATCGTGAATCACATTGTTTTTATTTATTTTTTATGATTAGATTAGTTAAACAATACTTACCGTTTTGTTTTTGTTTCAGCACTTAGAACAATTTGCCTATGGAAGAAAACTTCTTACTAAACAGTACCATTAGAACATTTTGGATATCATTTTAGACATAAAGAAAGGTAGGATTTTATTTAATATGTTTTTGTAATTTTTTCTTTATTATTATGGCAAAGTAATTATTTTAGTAATTCCAACTATTCCCTATGGGATCGTCTCTCAAGTGTTTTGGGTTGTTGACTGTGGAGGTGGATACTGCAATGTCGTCAAGTTAAGAAATCCAGAACTGCTCTTTCCAATTCATGGGTACTTCATTGGAAAGGTAGGGTTGCTTTTGTTGCTTTTTCTTTAAATTTAAAATTAATTTCTCTATTATTAAACATGCTAAAAATACCCAAATGTATTAATTCTGCTGTGAGGTATTAGTAAAAATTAGCAGTGTGCACTTTCAGCCCCCAATTTAAAAACATAATTTTTATTTTTTCCTCCAAAGATTGAGTAGTTTGTAATAGTTTTTTTCTTTCATAGGTATCTAAATTCTGCAATTTTATTCTGAATTTTTGAAAGACATTATATGTTATTTTAATAGTCTTATAACCATTTCATTCTCTCCAAGTGATATATGTTTGTCTTTTTTTTTTATTTGCCGTCTGTTCAAAATGTCTCTCCTTTATTTCCGATCGTCCAAAAAAGCACGCTTGCTCGGTTTGAATCCTTACCATAAACCATTCCTTGCTGCCACTACCCTCTACATATTTCTAAAAATGAATTTTACTATCTATTATAGTAACCTTCTCATCTTAAAATAGATCCTCCACCACTTGTTTCTATTACGGTGTTATTACTTCTTGTTTAGGGTATCTTCTAATTTCTGGGGAGGGGGTTAAACTCGATAATCACCCTCCCCCCCTGGGTACGCGTCGGGTGTGAACATATACTTTCTGAATAGATTCTCGAATTCCTTCGTTATGAATAAACAGTTGATTTAAACTTAAAAACTATTTTCTGTTATTTTGTAAAAGGGAGAATTTCCCGTTGATTTTATAAATAAATAAGTAAAATTAATTTATAGTATTGTAGTATTGCGGACATATTGTAAAACGTATTTTTTTGGTACATGGATTCATCAAAATCTTTTCATAGGTTTTTCTAGTTTTATTACGGGGGGCTGTAATAAAAAAAATGTTTGCATTTATGTTTATTATTGTACTTTGCTATATTTATATTTATTTAACTAATGTGTATGATTAATAGCAATTCGAAAATACTGTTTGCGTAGACGAGTACATGCACAATAAGAATACATGAGCATTCGTGAATTTTTCCTCGAAGGGTAGCATTGAAAGTTCTAGTTCACCCTGAATATTAAATTATTTCAATGTAACGTAAAATTCAAAACCGCATGCATTCAATTCGCATAACCCAAGACACTTTCCTTAATGCATGAGTATGCGTCGTTTTTATTTAATGATGTGTTTTCTTCGGTACACGTCTTTTGACTATACGGATGATAGGGAGCTTTTTGCCCCTAATATAGTGTTATAATATTTACATAACAGTTTAGAATTTACTGTAAATTTACTATCTTTCGTCCCCATTCGAGTGCCCCTTAAAGTTTCCTTTTAAGTTTAATTTTCATCCCTCCCAATTATTTACTATTGTGGATGTCTTGAGATGCCTAATGTTTTGAAATTTATCATCAGGAGATGTCACAATTTAATTTAAAACGTTCTAAATAAATTTAATTGAAGTACCAACCGTAATGGATTTTTTATCTAAAAGAGGAATTCATTTTAAGTACCCATTTCCAATAGAGTTAAGTTTAAATGGACTAACTCTCTTATTTTTCATGCTTATGTGTTGTGCATTTTTCAAACAATATCAAGAATTTCCATTTAACGATTTAGAACAAAATATTCAGGTAAATTAAGTACACTCATTTTAATATTAAATGATTAACAGTAATTAAAAGAAAAGTAGCATTCAAAAAGTACAAAAGCGTATGCTTGCAGAAGCAAGGTGTCAATGTGTTGAAATTCTTAAAAACAATATTTGATAAGTTTTTTTAATATAAAATGTCAAATGTTTATAATAATTATACAAAGCGTTAACGAACGTATGTACTGTACATATATGGTTTATTTTTTTACTGTCACCATAAGGTATTATTTCAAAATAGATCCTTGAATGTTTTGGGTTGAACTTACAGAAAAGTTCAAGGGTAACCCCCTGCAAGTGTTTATTTCAACAAAGGCCTTTAGCTTTTAACGATAAAACACTTAGGGACTCTATATATAGGCAAATGCAGTTTTATTATAGACGATACAATTATTTTGTTGTTTATAAAAAACATTTTAATCCTGAAATTCATTTAAAAGGAAATAAACTTTGAACTCATATACGTTGCGCCGTCTATGAAACAATAGTGGAAGGTTATAGTAGCAATTTTGTATCAATTGTAACATACAGTGTCCTCTCTGGTGTAAAAGCTGAGTTAACATTTACTATTTCTTTCTCTCTCATACTTATATTATTTATTCGAATTATCACGGAAAGTGCTGCCGCCTCCGAACTGTGTGTGAATTACTCCCCAAAATATATTAAACATAGGCGTATCTGCAAACAAGGAGTTGAAAGCAACTGTAGATTTATTATAAGAAATATAAGTTCGTTCAACTTAGGGGCTTTACTATTATTTTTCATCCGCTATTAATGCCTTTATAGCTATTTTACTCTTTATTCGGTATTTTTGACGTATTAAACAGTAAAATAATTGCTCTGGAATTATAAAGCCGAATGTCACTGATTTAGTAAGTACCGCCCATTTCTGGAAATTAGAGAACACGGAAGGTGCTGACATCGATGAAGAATTTATTAACTCTAGTGATAAAAAAAAAACACTTTGTACAAATAGTAAGCATAGGCGCGGTAATGAAACGATAAGTAAGTGCAATTAAAATATAAAATAACACAAAAATATTTATTATTGTATGTAAAAGACCTTTTATAATTTTGATGCGTCAAATTTGACTTTTTCTTAACACGAACTTATTTATTTATCAAAAATTTAATTCTCNCCAAACTCTTCGACAGTTATATAATTTTTTAAATAATTACATTTATCAACATTATCCAGATTTATATTTTTGTGAATCATAAATACAAAAGAATTGTGAAATTTTAACCCGTTATCTTATGTATATTAAGCGCAGGTAACCCTAATGTCCAGTTATTTTATGCTCTTACGTGCAATTCGAGTTTCGTCCGTTGTTTGCGATGTAAATTGTAATGTTTGTGCACTTATTAATTGTGTTTAAAAAAAATTCTGCGGCTTTGAAACTGCATGAAAATAACTGTGAGCACACTCGGTATATCATTATCATAATTCAAAAGTGTAACATTTAATATGTGACTCATTTTTATGCTGGCATAGAAAAATCTCGACACAGTGCGACAACTAGGTCAGAGATATTTCACAAACAAGTGTAACTTGCTGATCTAACTTTAGTGCAAAACCATCGGATGCTGCAGTAGTGTCAATTCAAGATAGATGCTGGAAAGTGTCCAACGTTATTATAAAATCGGTTCATATCAGAACAGCAATTTCGCTGGTCATAAATCACTGCAGTAGTGACCCCGACTAAGGAACAATCGACTACAGTAATGAACTACATTGGTGCCTACAGGGTGAACCTTTCTCTTTGAAGGATAGATTCTCCAAAGGGTACAATTAAGTTAGCACAAATAAGTTTATATGTATTGCAATGTTACATATTAACTTAATGCTAGATGTCATTACGATATCTGTAGTGATGTATTGCACTAGTTGGTTCCTAGCCATTTGGGTACAGTAGCTATTGAGTTGAAAGTGTTAGTGAAGTTGGTGATGCCTCTTGGTGTAGTTATTCTTCACTGTATTGTCGGATGCCCGAGACGTGTTCGACAGATATGTTCCTTGACCACCGTATCGTGTCCGCAACCATAAGACGTCTCACTGGTTTTGCATAGTCTTTTCGAATATCCAGTATTTTTTCAGGATTCTCTCATTCTCCTGGTCCCCACGTGCCAAGAGCCCCAAATCAGTTCTTTCTAATAAGGATTACTTAATGACGATACGGCGCCGATACTACGTACCTACCTATGGACTAAGCCCATCAGTATGTTGTCAAAATTTTTTTCTTGCTATGTTCCTGCAGTTTCTAATTCGGACATCTATTTTTAAAGAAAAAATTAAATGAACAAGTCTTGGTTATTTACAATTTCATGAAAGCCTCAATCATTTATTTAGAACCAGCTCTGTTAAAATAGAGCTACAACACCTCTCATAGCTATTCCGAACACCTAGTAGTAGAATTTGTCTTTATATAGGGAGCAATGTTATTACAATTATCTGAAATTATGGTAGCTAATAATTCTGTTGGGATGTTGGTAAAAAAGGAACTGGTATCATAGCTAACAGAAATGTAATTGTCAGGGACTACTATGATAAACAACTTATTGATCAGTTCGAAGGAATTTTTAAAATTAAGTTCTGGATTTTTTGGGGTTCCAAGTTTTTGTTGATGAACTTCTTCTAGGACTAACTACAGTTGAAATTATAGGGGTTATGGGAAGATTATGGATTTTCGATAAGCCGTAGATGTTTGCTGCAATGGGATAGCGAATCTAATAGCAAATTTTGAAATCTCTAACACGCTTAGTTTTCCTAAAATGTCTAATCTACCACTCAGTTAAAAGAATTCTGTACGGCTTAGGTACAACTTTTATTAATGAAGTGCTTAATTTTGATAAACGTTTGTGGTCTTTATTTAAACAAAGTGTTCCCATATAATTTTGATTAATGATATCAGTTAATTTATTACTTCCCGTGTTAGCTGTACCATTTATTTGGATGTTTGGGTTACCGTGAACTGATAAGAGCTGTTCGGCAGCCCTGTGAACCGATTCATACTTTTCTCATTGTGTATTTCTTATTATATTCATTCTACATTCGTCATTGTCATGATAAAGTTGTACACGAGTTACTTTAATAAACTTCTAAAATAACGCCTGCGTTTGGTCATTCTGATTGCAACAGTTTCAGAAGTGGGATTAACAAAATTCAAAGTATTCGTGTGTGGTGGTTTTCATTAAATTACTGGGTTTTATTTATTGGAAACGGATCTTAGTGTTGATCTGCGAGCGTAGAGAGTGATTCCTACTGATAGATCGTAACACGGGAAGAACTGTGATGAATAAAATGTCAACCGGGAGATTACCTGAAAACACATCAACGGCGATGGAGACGGCAACTAGTAGTGAGGGTCGTGAAACAGGTCAGCGATTTTTTCCAAATATTCAAAGTGTTTTACCGGAATTTGATCCTGTCAAAGACAACATTTCCATTGACCAATGGATCGCTAAGATCGAAGAGTACGGCGAATTGTATGAATGGGATGAAGTAACTATCAAACATTACGGG